GTTGTGTTTTAATTAAATTTACACTCAGATTATAAGTAAGGTCTAAACATCCGGTCATCACTTTTTAAAGAGTCCTTTCATTTGAAGGCCAATGTTTTTTGGGATATATTTAGTGTATTATTACGGAATGTTATCATAAAAATTTAAGACATTAGTTTATTTATAATTTATAGCATATTTTAACATAAAACGAGACACAAAAATGCAGTCATTAGTCGCGTTTGAATCATTTATTTGTTATATTTAATATATAGTCTTAGGCTATAAATAGAAAGGTAAATAATTAAAGAATAAATAATATAGCTTATGAATAAATTCAGATTTTAAAATCAATGTATTCAAACAAGTACATTAAATTTGCAGCAAAACAAATAATTTTATAAAATATTCATTATTCATGTGAATAACTGTGAAATCATAATAAATAGATTGAAATGAATTTGATAGCAATATAATAAGCGCCCATAAATTCTACAGATGTCTGTAATTAACAATTGAAATGAAAGATTAATTAGTTTTATAAATACTTAATATTCGCAAACATTTTGATACTTCAGTATATACTGTATATATAAAATCAAATTTCGTGATTCCTTATAACGATTGAAAAGCGAGTTCAAAATAGCTCTCAAAAAATATTTAATGAATTCCGGGAAGTTTTGTGACTTTAGTGTAAATATAGAATAAGAAAGTGTTGTAAAAAATATATACTCTTAACTCAATTGACTTTTATTTCATTAAATACTAAATAATTTAATAATTAATATGACAAACAATAAATGAAAGACTCTTATATAAAAAGTTAAACTCGCAAAAAAACATTAATAATTTGAGAGCTCAGTTGATATGATGCTTAAGGTCTGGGAAGCAAAGGGTGGGGGAAAGGGATGAGAAGAGAGAAAGAGAGAGTGAATGGGAATTATTGGTATTATCGCTGAATAGGTGTGCATATAGTCTTACAAAGGGCTCGGATGGCTGTCAGCCGGGATTTGACCAAATAATTATTGAATATGATTAATGATTACCAAACAACAGACAAATTTCTAGCACTCATATCTATCTCGCTTTACTCACACTCACTCACTATTGTGCAAAAGTCTCCCCGCCTTAGCTAAGAGTTAGCATTTCAGGTGAGAAAATAATGGAGAATAATGCACCTGCACTTCGATCAATGCATACATGATTACCACTGCCTCTCACTTTCTAGTAGTTTGTGCTGCTCTACAATCACAACTAACGGTGCACTTCACTACAGTATACCATTGCATAGATACATGCAGATAGAGTACAGATCCGGCGGTAGACTATCATACAAAGTATAGTAGAGTAGGGGTTGAGGAGAGAGAGAGAGAGAGAGAGAGAGACTCAACTCATGCCATATAGTCTGCACTGAGAAGAGAGCAGTCGTTACTTTTTATGACAATACAAATTGAAATGATGGTAAGGCATCAAAAATAAGAGTTTAGTCACCAGTGAATACAATTAGCGTATATATGGATATCAGGGAGATGTGTATCACACTCATAACTATTGAGCCCTACATTGGATTAACTATACATTGAATTTATTTTTTTCGTACAATTCTAATGTAATAGAGTTAATATAAGTTGGATTTTTCAATGCTGTAAACAATATATTTGAGTTTAAAAGCGTTTAAAAGACATTGCGAATAGTTTTGAAAAAAGTATATTTCTCGGGTAATGCCATATATTGTGATAATATTAGATGTAATCTCAATATTAAGACTTTGTAAGTGTTGTGTCGGTTGTGTTGCCCTCCCGTTTCGCGCATCTCTTATAGGATTGGTTGCAATGGTTTGCGAATTCAGTGGGGAATACACACAAACATACGAGCGTTTGGATAACATGATTGAGTTTTGAATATTGCATGAGTTCAGCATCTCTTCTGCTCTGAATAGCTCCGTATATACTGTATATATCTATTGCTCAACATATACTTCATATAATACCGGAGCCAAAGCCAAAGCCAAAGTCTAGCGCTGCAGCAGCCGATGTGCTCCACAACGCAATCTTAACTCAATTTGTGCTCTTTTGCAATGTTTCCCAAACGTAACATTTATAACATGACATGAAAAGTGGCAGCACATAAAACAGCCGTTAGACACAACCCAACAACACAACAAATTTTAATTCATTTCACTATTTACTGCTCAAACATTTTTTTGTTTCCCTCTAATTGTTCGCTGTATATGATTAGACGCGATGAGACCATCTCTCTCTCTCTCTTCTTCTTTCTTTCTCTCTCTCTCTCTCTCTCTCTCTCTCTCTCTTCTTCTTCTTCTTCTTCTTTCTCTCTCTCTCTCTCTCTCTCGACGTTACTATCACTATATCCGATAAACATTAGTCTTTCTCATCTCATAGTCTGTCCAACAATTAAAATCTTAATTAAATCTGCGATAAAATCAACGCTCGCTTCAGTTCTTAATAATATTTGAGTTGTTTTTTAAGAACATATCAAACAAATGAGTGCAAAAACATCTGCAAAGTGACTGTCAGTGCGTTGATTGAGTGAAAAGTAAAGTATTTCTCATCGTTGTTTAAGTTATAGTCAATAGATATACTAGTTTTGGTCAATAGTTATTTTGATAATATTTTTTGTGATGATTATGACAATTCAAAGCCAAACTTATGTGCTTTAGGGCGTAGTGTATATATACTACACTGTAAAAAATATATACATTATAAAGAGTGAGTGTATGGTGTGTAGTGTACTGTTAGTGTTCAGTGTATATGAATGTAGTGCTAACCACCACAACGCAGATGTTTCAATGGTTTAGTTTTTTTTCATTACTATTACTGAGGAGACTGTAGTGCACTGTAGAGTAGATGAGAATAAAATTGTTTTTGTGAGTCGAATGCGTGAGAGCTCTTCCACGAGGTATAGACCAGTATATCATTAGTCGTAACCTTTCGCTCGTAATGTTTGGCTCACTATAACACAAATGATAGCCTTTTTCTCTGCGCTAAACCCTATGTTCCAAACACTCGTCAGTGTTTTGTAGTGAGCGCTGGGCTTATAGTGGTGTAACTCACGCACAGTTAGCTCTAGAACTTTACTTTTCGATCTGAGAAATGTTGATTGGATTCTGCATTGCATTAATTCATGAATAAATAAATTCAAAGTATAATAAGTCACCAACAAACTACAACTAAATCTCTGTGATTCTGTACAATAGGGGTTAAATGAATACGAATTTGACACAACAAAACACATTTCCATTCTTATATTGTAATTATTTGTTTGAATAACTATTTAATTATGACTTTTATTTTTTCATGGTTCATGGCATTAAGAAAAATGTTTTATTAATTAAATAAAAAATCAAGTAATAAATGTTTGAATAGGGTGTACGGTATTGTGTCTAAGGGAATAGTTAAACATACATTTTATTTCTAAATACAGTAAAAATTGAAGTGAATATGAACTGAAAAATGAATAGCTTTTGTTGATCTGTGAGTAATTACTTAGAAGTAGTAGTATTTGATAAATTGAGTGAATATATTGTCAAAATTGTAATCTTTTAATGCTTATTATTTAGTGTATGAGTGTACAGTATATGGTGTATATCCAGTGGTATCCACTCGGGAGTCAATATATACGCTATATTCACAATGTTATGAAAGAACATAATGTCATAAATTGTTATTATTATTAGTATTTTAATTCATTGTATAAGCAGTATATGAGTGGAGCAGTCATAGAATAGGGCTATTGTGCGAGCAGTTTATATAGAGTATCGCATATATACTGTAGTGTTGTGTGAATGGATGGAGAGGTGAATAGAGTAGTGAATGAGTGTAATAGTGATAGTGATAGTTGTCTTACTTTGTATGACTTGACCCTCCGCTGCGTTGGGGGAGAGGAGCCCAGAGGCCAGAGAGGCGCGAGTGTGTAATGCCTGCCAACGTATCTGTGCCCTACACTGCCGTCACAATAGCCGTTCACTACTGTTCATTGGATTAACAATTGAACATTAATCCATATGTTCCGTATGTATCATTTGGTGAATCCTTGGCAGCACTTATACTCCAGAGAATTAAGACAAACACAAAGCGATGGACAGTTTGATGCGGAGGAGAGTGAAAGGGAGAGCGAGTGGAGAGATAGGCATAGAGTTTGCCAGTGTTTGCAGTGTTGGGCCAACTGTTGCAACACTAAACAAAGCAAATCAGTGATGAGCTATAATGCAATTTCCGTGTCCAACGCCAATGAGCCAACATTTCAAATGATTAGGACTAGTGTTAGTCAAGTGAAGCCATACTAGCGCTCATTCACACAATAGCACCACTAATGTGCCATTGAATGGCATGGAATGCCATTTGCAACAAAATATATGGTTATAATGTATGGTTCCGTTTGTGTCCCAAACTCTTATTAGCTCTTATGCTCTAAATTGCTATTTATTTCTGTATAACTGTATACACACTGTGTGTCTCAGATGCTGTCACTCGGAGAACAAATGAAAATATTTTAATCTTATGTAATGAGAAGTGTGTGGAGACGAGAGAGAAAACAAGAAGGAGAGGGGCAGTGATGGTAAGGGAGAGGCAGAGGAGAGGGCGGAAGTAAAGATTGAGATAACTATTTGTTGGGTATTAATGCGTGCATTGAGTGCATGACAATTATGTGTTTGCACAAAAAGATCACTCAAAATAGCAATTATATTAAATTAAGTGCGAGTAACACAAAATGACATTAAATGCAATAATAGATGACTACTTGATGAGACACTCCATACCACTCCATGCACTCCATAACCCATAACCCTATTGTGAATCTATACGTCGAGTGCGATATTTATTCATTGCATTCATACAACGAAAAACCATAGCATTCATTGCATGCACTTGTGTTGTGTGTTGTCTGCAGGTATGGCCTATACTTGGCTCCCATTGGCTCAGTGAAGAGTGGAGGCTCTGCATGTAGTCAACGGGCATGACTGCCAGCACTTCATCCCAAATATCTATCAGTTCTCTCATCTTCAAGTCTAAAATGCATTAGATTTTTGTCAAACAGTGAGTTTCACTGCAATATTTATATACGATATTATGAATAATACTCTAATCAAGACAACAAGTCCTAACTCGTGTTTCGCGACCCAATCTGTCGGTTCCCCCTCTCGTACGTTCTCACCTCCGTCTCCATACACTCCTACGACTATTCATCACAGAGATATGAGAAGACACTGTCCATCGATGACTCCTAACCCTCATCACACTTCTCCGGTAAGAGATAACACACATACAAACACACACTTTCTCTCTCCCATACATATCCCAATCAAAACCAATTCCTTATTTATTGCAATGAGATCTCTGGTCTCGCAAAACATATCTTAAGCTCAAAATGTGAGCCATAAGTGGTTCGCAATAAATTTTTGCGTGTTTTTAACGCATCAGTAATTATGACATCAATTACTATGAGATAAGAGTTTTTGAACAAAAAACAAACTTACGATTCATGAGCGATGAGTGCGTTTCTGCCCCTCAAATGGCACTTTGCGGCAGTGCTCGCGCGATACATCCACGTCTTGAAAGTGTTAAGTGAGTGGCGTTTTTAGGTCCCGTTCCCTATCCGTTACCATTCACACGGTGCGTCTGGCGAGGGATGTGGTGGCAACTAATGCCTGTGCTCGCACTTATATATGTGCTCCGACGTGTTGGTCTGGTGTCTGCATGATTTTTGCATGGCTTGTATGCCTTTATAAACTATTTAAAAGTTTTCTGCTTTTGCTTCTAAAAGAAAATGAGGCACTGGTTATAGCACCGCTGGTATGGCACTGGTAGGTAGAATGTGGAAAGTACATGCACTGCGTGTCTGGTTGGGTGTGTGTGTCTATAATCTATGATTAGAGAAATATTTTATTTATTAATTGGGGTCTGGGCTCTACACTCGGTTCATGTTTTTATAATGTGCACAAAAAGTGAATTGCATTATATATGGCGCTCTTTAATAATTAAATGGTATTTTCTAAATAGGAATACCATTCAAACACATCTCTCATAGCAATGCCAACACAACACGACTGAACACAAGTAGTACTCTATTTGCATATTTGTGGTGTATATGTGACTTACTGTATGCCAGTGTATGGATAGGTATATGTTTTTATGAATTATTAAATGCAACGCTTTGGGCGACAATAGAATAGCTCTATTCAAGCGATTCATATATGGACTCAAATGAGAGACTCAATTGATTCAAAACTAAATGCTTTCATATTTATAGCCAGTATTTTGTTTTATTTTCAAATTATGAATTAATTAAATGCTCGCATCAAATCAAATACACTGTATTATAGTATTATACGATTGGGTGCTTATCAGAGCAGAGATTCGCCGGCAAAACCAGTGCCTCTTATCGCCACACGTACGCCACGACTCCCGGCGTACATACAGTTAGACTCAAACTTATCGCAGATTACTTGATATGCAAGCCATGCACTCCGTATAACTCATCGATCAAAGTAGCAATTAATGCAAATTAATAGCTATAATACATACGATTCGCTTCACTCTCGCATAACTGTGCGGTAATGCGCTTCTCATGTGTATTGTCTCTCTCCGATTGTGTGACACAATCACTGCCAGAGCTCTACCAATATCTTCGCGGCCGCGGGTCTGGACGCGGCGGCCGCTGAACTGCACGACCTCAGCAGTCGCAACCAGGCCAACATCAAGCCCGACATGTCGTCCATGGCCTACCACCACCACATGATGCAGAGTCGACAGCACCACCCGTCGGAGATGCACGAGTTCCTCACCGCCGATCCCATGTCGGCGTCGCTGCCGTCGGCGCTAGGCTTAGCCCAGGCGTCCGACGCCTCCCACCATCCGGGGTCGTCGTCCAGCGCTCAACTGCACGCGCCTTCCGCTCTATACTCCGCTCATTCACATCATCACAATCCTATGAATGGTTGTTATCATTACCGCATATATTCACGTCGTGTTTGTCTTAATGAGTAATTAACGAGTCGTTTATTACCACGCAGTCAATGGTATGATTCCTGGTCTCCATCATCAGCAATTAGCGAGTCATCAAATGCAGAACCCCTTTCATCATCACCCCCACCATCACCAGCCACACCATCCCCACCATCACAGCCCATTCGCCACGGCATCGCCGCATCACGTCTCGGCCGACCCCTCACTATTAGACGCCGATCCGCGAGAGCTCGAGGCGTTCGCCGAGAGATTCAAACAAAGGAGAATCAAATTAGGAGTAACTCAGGCCGATGTCGGCAAGGCTTTGGCCAATTTGAAGCTTCCAGGAGTCGGTTCCCTCTCTCAGAGCACTATTTGCCGGTAAATCATATATTGTTTGCTATTTTCCCAAAACTAGTTGTGTATAAAAAACCGAGAGATATAATGATTAAACGATTGACTCAATGATTGATTGATGGGAATAGGTTTGAGTCGCTGACTCTGTCACACAATAATATGGTGGCACTGAAGCCAATACTTCAGGCCTGGCTCGAGGCGGCCGAAGCACAGGCCCGGAAGAACCGGAACAACAACCGCGAGGGCGGACCCGATCTCTGCGTTCTTCCCTCCAGTGATAAGAAGCGGAAGCGGACGTCAATCGCGGCCCCAGAGAAGCGGTCACTCGAGGCCTACTTCTCGGTGCAGCCGCGACCGTCCGGCGAGAAGATCGCTGCCATCGCCGAGAAGTTAGACCTGAAGAAGAATGTGGTGAGGGTTTGGTTCTGCAACCAAAGGCAGAAGCAGAAGCGCATGAAGTACTCGGCGGTGAACGGCCCGGGAGGTCAGCAACAGTAAGCCATTTAGTCGATTAGAGAGAAAAAGTGAAATAATAATAATAATAACTAAGACTTTAAATATGAAAATACTTTTTATTGACAAATAATGCATTACTTTATAAATTAAGGCATTTTAAAATTTATGGAAAAACAATTGAATGCGATTATTATAGTTGTAATACTAATAATACAAATCTGAACCCGAAAATAATGTTTGCCAAACAAATTTTAATCAATGATTTAAATGATCTAATCATACAATCAGACAATATTTAAAACGTTGTGTAAACTTCTTATGTTGTTTTCAAATCCTAATTACATTATATTTACCCGAATTGTTGTCAAATTGAAAAAAACACTGTACTCTATGTAATGTATATAATGTATGAAAAATAATGAAATAATGATATAATGCTCATACGAACAAATACACTGACAATTAGTCATTCAATACTGTTTGGAGTATGTGGTGTATGTGCACCTGCATCTCCCAGCATATCACCTCCCGGTGCTATACAACCGGGTAAATGGTTTCGTTGATTGAGAGCCAACGCAAAAAGAGCGGGCGATATGTGCGGCCGCACGCAATACGCGTGCCGTTAATATATGTGACAATACATGCATTGGATTGCATTCACTGGACGCGTGTCACTCCAGTCCTCCACTAATTGAATCAATGCTTTCCATTCACTACATATCCAAACAAAACCCAGTTATAGGCTCTCACTGTTTGATGGCAAATGCATTTGACAAAAAGGCTCAGGTGCTCATACATCCAGTGCTCATACATCTCATGCCATTACTATTGTACACTCTAATGTCCACTCTTCCCCAGTTTCCATACATCACTAACATTACGGTTATTGATATACGGAATAACGAAATTAATTTCACTTAAATTATGTGAACAACCAATTATTGATTACACCTCTCAGTCCACTCTAACCATTGTACTCAATGATTGATAGCCTAGTATTTATATTTATATCATTTTGTTTGAGTTTTGTTTTGAAATTAAACTAAAATTAAAATGACTCTATATGTGAGTTGTGTTTTCCAAAACAATAATTATTTCCATCAGTTCTCTAACTCTCACTCCAATCCCTGTGCTGTACATCACAAAACAAATTGCAATTTCTCCGAAAATATATACCGGTGTGTATGGCATACAGTACACACGTATATGTTATATAAGTTATATAACGGATTAGTAGATGGAAAGGAAACACAAATTCAATTGAAGTGTTTCTCATTATGGTTGATGTGAGAGCTCGACCGCTAAATATGTGGCCAAACATTTAATCAAGAAGTGCCCGTCATTGCCATCATTGCCATCATCATCAATGCCATCATGTAATACAGTATTTTAGTAGACAATAGAGTGGGACCGCACCTATTCCTCAGCACAACCACACCCGAAGGGTGAATGAGTGGTGGTGTGAGTGAGACGTTACACATGAGAGAGTCAGTCGACGAGAGAGACGCGAGAGAGAGAGAGAGAGAGAGAGAGAGAGAGCTGGCAGAGCATAGTATTGAGCGTTGGACTGCAAACTCCAGTTCCAATCACATTATAGTTGTAGGTTTTGGCTGAAGAATACATATTGAAAGTACTTATGTATGACTGGTATTACAGTGAGGTATTAGTAACTCTTAATACTATTTGACATACAGTGCACACAAAAAGCTTAAATCAACGCCGAAAGCAATGCAGAGCAGAGCAAAACACTCAACATTTCTATTCAATTATTCAAAGGCATCTCTCGGTGTCGGATAGGATCGGTCGCATCTCTCTCTTCAAGAGGCTTACATGCGATGGAATACCAGTCCCTTTGGGAAGTTCACATTGCATTGAAATCACATCAAAGACATGTATACATACATCACAATCCGATCACATATTGTTCTCAAATACCATAAACTCAATTACAGTGTATAGCATAGACATAGGTATCACAACCAAAGACTGGCTCTGAGCAAAACACCACTAAACAGCCTTTCCTTACACTATGTTCTGTCAGATTATACTCCAATCAAAACGAATTATGAATGAGATTATAACTCAATGTTCATATTATCATCAATTGTGTCATAATGTGAGTTCTGGTCTCAGCTTTTCTCTGTCTCTGTACTACAAGCCAAGTATTGAAGGGATCGGTAGGTTTGGTACACAGAGCTCGTAGCACTCGTTATCACACAAACTCACTAACCATTTATTAGCCCACAGTTTTGTATTCTAATGAATACGAAAAATACATAATATTTTGCAAATAGATATAAATTATTAAATTTTATTGTTATTCTAATTGGCTGTTGGATTGATTGGCATAGTATATAGAGTTCCTGTATATAAATATATATATATAATACTAGTATAAAGTATACGCTATCAGGTGTACTGTATTCCACTTGTGATTGAATAGAAAAAAGTGTAAATTCATATAAAAAGCAAAACATTATCTACAAATGATGGCAACAATTACTATGTCGTGACTTTATTGAATTGACTCGACCCGACAGTACGACCGGCATAATAGCGACAATAGGCCTAAATACAGGCCCAGATGTGCCTTTTCTCACGTATCAAAACATAGGTCACAGCCTTTTGATCATTACTTTTGTATTTATTTATATCGAATGTATTATTTATTAATAATTATTTAGTACTAACTCTTGAGTTTGTCTAATCTTCTCAATCACTCTCACCGTAGCTATAATTACGGCCTAATTCTCCATAAGAGTACACAAAGAAAACCAAATGTACTCCACTTTATACCGCATAATGAATACTAAACATCGAATTCAGTGTAGAAAACAAATGACAAATTCTACAGAAATGACAATATTTTTAATCAAACCTTACAAATCAAGAAGTATACGCAAACAATTACTAGTGAAACTATTGTACAAAATCTGTACTGTATGGTATAAATATACAGTACAATAGGTACTCTATGAACAAAATTAATTGAACTTTTATTTTGAAATTAGGAGTTAATTATAGTAATTAAGAATAAAGAGAAAATTGTGCTAAATTTATAAATTGTCATTTGCCCTCAATTATATGAATGATATACTGCACTATCTGTACAATACGGTAAAGCTATTTTTTTAAATTTTTGTATCTTGGTGAATAGTGATCTTAAAATTGATTTTTTATTCGTCAGAATAATTTATACTGTAATATTGAGCACAAATTATTAAAATTATGTTTGTTAGTGTATATTTTTATTCAAACATTTAAAGCAATAATTAAGAATAGATCTCATTTATAATGATAGATAAAAATTGAAAAAAAGTCTCTTTATCGGAGGCTATCCGTTATGGCAGTCTATATCTTATAGAGTAGTACACCGTATTGTACAGTACAGTACAGTATGGTATAGTAAGTTATATTGATATTGCGATACAACCATAATTACATCACATATCGCAACCATTATGGGTAGTTTGTTTGAATTCATGGCACATATACCGGTACTATGAGTCAAACAAATCCTAACTCCATTGCAAATTGGATTTCAGATGATTATTGATTTACGTCTAATATAAGGCAATAATTACAAAACACTGTTTGTCATTACGTTAGATTAATCCCGGTATTAGCTATTCCTGTGTTTAATCCATCCTTTTTATACTTACATCCTATGCTTAAAAGATTATCAATTCTTTACAATATAGTTGATTATATGTATAAAATGTCTCAAAAAGCACTCATTTACGTTCAATTATTTTTGAATCAAAATTCTTATGGCATTTCAAGTGTTTGTAACTTAGCATTAAAGTCAATGGTTTTTGTTCAGAGAAAATGAATTTATACTTAAAACTCATTTTATTTAACATTGAAAAGACACATGACTTGTGTGTATAATAAATATATAAATTTAATAAGAACTTTAAATTAATTAAAATGTTCACTGCCTAATGTATTAAATAATTGACAAAAAATAATTTCATTCAGTGTTTTATTAGTCTCTAAAAATATTTAGATAAAAAATATTAAATACAAAATTATTTTAACAAAATTGTTTCAAATAATATATAAATTTACAACACTCGCACTCCCTTTCCCCGTATCTTTATTGAGGCATTTTGTATACGAAAAGCTAACCGTGCGATCGATCGGTACTTGCTATCAATCGTACGACACGTAAAACAATCTAAACTCTTGTGTAAAAAATTTCAAAAACCATTAGAGTATTGATACAAACAATTGATAAATGGCTTTAAATTTAAAAAGATTCAAACAATAAGTTTTACAACAAATTTATACCAATTGAATGACACTTTCCGGGAGATATGTCGAGGGAATTATACAATACATGAGAACATTATGTTTTGAAATGAATGATCAAAACTTACATTTTAAAGTGTAATTCTATCGCCTTTTTATAGCCCATGTATTGCCGCCTAAATCGTCTCATTCACTGCTTATACTATACATCCATTTATTTGTCATTAATTTAACAATTTTTTTATTCACATTGTTTAAAAATACCGTATAATATATATTATATAGACTTTATCACGATATTCAAATCAAATCTTGATACGATTTTATGGGCTAGGGATACGGAATCTGATTAATTTTATTTAAAAAATAGGCTTGATATTAAAAATTAATGAATTTCAATGAACAATTAGCATACTTAAACATATTTTAATATTATATTTGTTTGTTATTAATTAATTTATAATATTGATAGAAGTCTGTAGAATGTTATGAATATTTTATTTTATTGCCAGCACTTACTTTTATATTGTATTTATAAAACTCCCCTACCTGTTTTTATAGTTAACACACGTTTGTGTTAAATGTTATTTATATTTAAGAAAGTTGCATTAATTATTTTATAAAACTGAGTAAATTATATATAAAAATTAAACGTTTAAGATTTGATAACAATTAAAATAGATATGATATTGTAAAATATTTTTCGCAAATTTGAGTATTGAAAATTGGCCTGGCACACAAGTAGAATATAAAATAGTGCTATACTAAAATTTAACATAATGTAATGGCCAGCGAAATGGTATGTATGGTAATGGGTTATTAATTAAATGCAGTAATTTGTCTGGTTAATTGAATGGAAAGCTGATATTCAAAAAACAATAGTCACTTTAAAAGAGTAAGTAATGTATGGATATTATAGTTTCATAATTTCATTGATGGTTTGTCTATATTTCACAATACAATCATAGCAACTATACCGACTCGTTAGAAATAAATACAATTTTCTAAAATATTAGCCAATTTGTTATCAATCAACTTCTTTACGGTATAAAGAATTGCAAAAATTTTATTTTAAAAACAAATCGATTGGTATTAATAATGTTGTATTTGTATTATCATAAATATTTGTATAATATACTGTACTTGATCACTTTTGGAATTACAAAATACAAAATAAAGGTAATGTATTATGATATATAAAAATAAATTATTATATTTGAATAAAAAGTACCGTAATAAATTAATGAATATATGGCAATGTAGCCACAACACACAAAAACCCGTAATTCACTTGAGCGGCAATGGACTATATTTTTATGATACCTTCAGTGACCGGTATATTTAAATATTGAATAAATAAAAATAATAAATATTTACAATTAAATACAATGTTAACAAACAAAATGTATATTTGGATTCATTTGTCTAATGTGTTGCATATTATCATCATCGGCGGTAATATTAACACAATTCTCAATCCGGACTTCTCTTAATTGAGTCAATAGTTTGCATTCAAATAATTGGATTAAGTGTTGGCAACAGATATCAGTGTCACTGAAATCCAATCTCTTAAGTCGTGACCCAAACTGATGGACAAAATGTTTAAGTATAGCGAAAGTGAAAGCATAATGAGTGGCATTAGACCAGTGGTCGACACAATCGCTGCCGTAATATCTTCTGATGATATGGAAGTGGAATATAATCTTACATTTTGAGACATTTAGCTCTTCGAGGGAACGACACTCGGAGGCCATCCATACGAAGAGGGCGTCGCATAATTTGAACGATTTATTGCCAGAAAAGTCTAATACTTTCAATCGAGACAAACAATGGCTCACATTATGGACCAGTTGTGCGCTCTTTGTGTTGGTTTTCATGATATAGCGATTGCTATTCAGATGTAATTCACGCAAAGACGTCGTCTTCGAGATGAGGTCCACTAGAATGGTGTCACTTATGGTGCAGTCATTGAGTTCCACGCATTCGAGAGCTGATGCCAAACGGGTCCACTCGTCCGCCACCTCAAGACACGACTCGTCGAAATGAATGGATTGTATCCTCAGGTGTCCGACAGTGGCCACACTGGCGGCCAACACACGCATAGCCCTCTCATACAGTCTTCTGGAGTCACTTCTCCTCTCTTTCATCACATTCTCGTCCATCACTTCTTCGTCAGACTCTTCGTAACGAACAGCGAATATGATCCTCGAGTTGGCAGCGAATACGAGTGAATGCCAGCGCCGGCAGACACTACTGGCGCACAACCGGTGCCTCCACTCCAGTGACAGCAATATCTTCTCCACGATTTCGTCGGGAAAGTCGTTCAAACTCTTGGCCACCGCCGCAGACATCACTCAATCGGATCCTCGACTCGCGAGTCAATTGACTGTCATTTCAATGGTTTTTAAAATCACTTTTTGTTTACCCTTTCGTTGCAATCATTTGTCCATAAAATATGTTTGCATTCAAAATGTGCCACAAATTCATTGCTATCATTGCTTTGCATTGAGTACTCATTTGCAGCGAAAAATCCCCGAAAATATCAATTATTGCCGTAATTTGTGATCAAATGATTCCCACGTTTTCGCGAAACACATGTTTTGAATGCATTTAAAGTTCACTTCCATTTGCAGTCAAATGATGGACACAACCGAAGACACGATGTCATCGCCCGACAGGAAGGGCGTGAAGAGGCGTCGAGACGCCGATCAGAGGATTTTGGATCAGTTTTGGGTGATCTGCGACCCCAACCAACACAAGCGCAACAAGAGTCTCAAACTCATCGTTGACATACTGATGAGGCAACATGTACAGTACCACCTTGCTCATATTTTCATTGATTTTGCATTCAATCTAATGATGTGTTGGTGTGTAGGACACGAACGGCACCAATGATGTGATGTATTGCTTGGAACGGGTCATCCGTGGTATGGCTTCCGCGCGACAGTTCGCCAGACATGGCTTTTGTGTCCTTTTGACTCAAGTATTGTCTCATCCGATGCCTGTCTTAACCCTATTGTCATTGAATTGATTTGTCGTGTAGTTGTTGGTGATCTTCGAGGAGAGGATTCCGCTGGAAATGGTGTTTGAATTGTCTGAAAGGCATTTGCAGAAAATCCAAGACGTGTCAAACCACGACTCAGTGATCGGGTGGTCGCTAGTGATGGCTTCGCTCATCAAAAGCGGTCGCCTGAACGCCGGCACCGCCGATGAGATATGGGATAAGACTTTCGAAGTGTTGTATTCGTTGGGAATGAGTAAACAATACATTGAATTAGTTGTTTGCGATCTCTTCACGCAATTCATGCCATTGATGGACACGAAAGTCTTATTCGACAAAATCGTTTGGACGCGCCTTAAGACCGATTTGAAGACAGATAACAGATTTAAGCCGTTCTTCATCTTTGTTTGTCTCTTCATTTCCGATAGATTTCCTGTAAGTCCATACAAATTGTGTTCCCTTTCAGTCTCTAATAGTTTATATTTTTTTCAAATATTAGAAATATTGCGATAAAAAAGGAGAAATTAATTTCATACTAAAGTCGGAAACTTTGCACAAACTATCCCTGATCATTAAGGTATGAGTTGTTTATGAATTGATAATCTTATGATCTAAATGTAACCATGTTTTCTAACATATGTTTAGGAATCAACAGCTTATCAGCCATTAGTTCATCCAATGAACCGACAAATTGTTAAACACTTTCTCAATAATAAGACTGACTTTTCAAAGTTCTGGAGTAAATGTGTTGACGGTATGGGTTGACTCATATTGTGATCGTTATGCCGTGTACTCAGTGTCTGTTTATCCCTAGATATGCTCTTCACACCGAATCAGATCGAAAAAGGATTCTTAGGCTTCGAGTTAATTAAGATAGTGTTGCCATTGATTACATCGACTGATGATGTGAGACATTATTTGCATTTCTAATTGATTTTATATAACGTGATGTGATTATCGCACACTTATAGGTGTCAACAGTGCTGTCGCCATCGTTTCTTCGTCTCTTCATTCAGTCGCTGTCCGCGAAGACCCATCCCCTCCACAGCGCTGCCCAACAATTGGTGAATAGATTTGCTTATAATATATATGTTATAAAAATCTAAACTATTTGTTGCTTTTAGTGCGAGTTTTTCACACAATTCACTAAAAATCTGGACAACTCGGAGCTGCAGTTGGAAATTGTCAACAATTTTACAAAACAGTAAGTTTTGCATTGCATATGAAAATAGATATTTTATGACTTTGTTTGTAATTTTGATTTAAAATATTTTTTGATAATTATTTAAAGGCCAGGTTCACTGCTGTTTGATATCATTTCAAAGTCTAAGTTTTTTGGCAATTTGTGTAAAACGGTATGATATACACAGTAAAGTTAACCTAGTTATTTTTTAATATCTTAATTTGTGTTTAATTTACAGCTCAATAGTAAATCAATTGACGAATGGACCCGGAAATTGAAATCGATATTCTTGTCGACAAATAAAGTCGATTCAAACGATTTGTTTCGCATTCGGTGTATTCAACAGGTATTTAATGATTTTTACAATTTAACTCTAATTTAATTTAATACCAAAAAATTTATTCTAGATTTCAGACGTTTGTAAGTCTATCGTATCTGTTGACGACATTGAGATTTTGTGGTCAAACATCAAATTTCTATTTATTTACTCGTATTTTGATGTTAACGACGATAACGAATCCAATGAAATTGTAAGACTATTACCATTTGTAGACATTTGTAGGACTAATGAAAGTTTTTCAATAGAAAAAACCTGCCGTTCCTATCAGTGAGAGTCTAAGGAATATATTGAGAAACAGTTTTAGGAGTACTTTCAATCACATCACGCATTTGGGCTCTAAAACAACGAAAGAAAAGTTGATAACCGAAGTGCAGATCATGTCCTCAATGCTTGAGTTCATCAATGATTTGTTTGTCAACCAGAATATGACCACTTGTTTGACAGATTCCAGAGTATGTGTTGTTTTGAGCTTATTTTTGGATACATTTTAATTGTGATATTTGTCTAGTTTTTAGATCCCTTCCAACGGATTGCGAAGGAAGTCTCGAAACTGAACAAAAGACTCAAAAAGCATTCGGACAGAGAAAATGAAATCAGAATTTTTATTCTCTTGTATTCCATGGTTGCGATCCAACTCTTCGAGGAATACGAAGAGATTGACGATATTCTTAAGGTTTGACTTATAATTAATTTAATTATAATTTTAAATATCATTTGTCGTGATATTAACAGGACGTAAGCGAATGTATGAGACGTGCGGTGGACGGCGAGTCTGAGGGGGCGGCTGATGACGCGCCCCTTTGGGCGGACGTCTTAATCGATTTAATACTCTCGTTGTTAACCAAGAACTCAAAGCTGACTAAAAACATGTTGTTATCGAGTTTTAAGCACATTTGCGGTCACATTACGAACGCCGGCGTTCAGTATTTAGTCGATGCTATCAACCCGTCCAACGATAACAAATTGTTTGGCGGTATAGAGGACTCGGATGTGGACGACGAGGAAATGGATGCCGAAGAAGAGAGTGACAAATCTGAGAGCGAATCGGAGTCCGAGGACGAGGAGCCGACCGGCGAAGTGGACGAGAATTTCCGCAACGATGTGATCAACGCGTTGGGAGCGGCCGCTGAGAACGACGACGACGAGGTCTGCCATTAAAGACAATTTGGTTATGATTTTAGTATTTGTCTCAATGTTTGCGTCGGTTATAGGAATCGGTTTACTTGAGTGACAGCGAAATGTTTCAGTTCGACGACACTTTGGCCGCTGTTTTCAAATCGAAATACTCGGACAAAAAAGAGGCCAACGAGAAGCAAAACTCTATCCTTATGTTCAGAATCAGATGTCTGGAGTTACTGCAGATATACCTGAACTCCAAGTCCGTAAATATGGATCAAATTCTGCAGTTGATTCAGCCGATAGTGTCGGTGGCAAAGAGTCCGTTCCAGCCCTCCAAACAGAACCAATTGGGCTCAAAGGCTATCCAATTGATGGTTCAGATCACCAAAATTAAGGATAAAACAGACGATTCGCTTGAAGTGAAAGATTTGAAGGAAGTGTTGGAGTTTTTAGTAACCATTTTAAACAAAAGCAATCACTTAGAGCTTCAGAAAGCGCTCAATTCACTATTTATATGGACTGTAAGTGGTGTGAAAACATTGTCTAATTTGTGTGTTAACTTATATTTTATTTATTTTTTAAGATCCAAATGAGTAGAAAGTTTTATCCGAAAGACAACTGGTATTTGGGTGTCATTGAGAGCACATTAAAAGTATTTTTTAAGAAAAAGTAATTTCAACAATAAATTAATTAAGATTTTGATGAATTTTATTAATTAACTCTATTTTTGTTGCAGTAATTGTCAGATTAACGATACTTTATTCAAAACTCTTATTAATGTGCATAACGTAAGTCTCAAAAAACTATTTTCCTGTAAAATCTTCATTTTGTTTGATTTGTCGATAATTAGGAAATTGGGTTTAAATTATGGGATATATTCGTGGAGTATTCGTTCATTGATGAGATTCGTGCCTTTAAGAAGTCATTAGCCATTCAAGTGTTGTTGACTTTGTGTAGAACTCAGACCTCGAAGAATAAAGCGATTGATTTATCGGACAATCAGTTGACTGAAGTCCGACAAAAGTGTTTGACTGTTGTATGCAGTGAACTAAGCAATGAGAAACTGAAATCGCAATACGTTAGCGAACTCTTACAACTGTACGACTTGTGCGACAAACTGCTAAAGGATCGCAATGTCGAGCAAAAGGTATTTATTTAATATTATTAAATAATATAAATAACAGAGTATTTGTAAAATATTTATCGGTATTAATGTTAATGAAAATGATTTTTGTGTTTATAAAAGATATCGCGGACTGACGAACAAGAGTTGACTACAAAACTGAAGTCTCTGTCGAAGCAAAAGAGACGAAACTTGAATTGCAAGCAAATCGTCAAAAAGTTGGTGTCCTCTTGAAAAATGTCTAACATTTGATTGTTTTGTAGTTTTTAATTATAAACATTTATAAAGTTTTAATTATAAATAAATTATGAAATCCATTGAAAATTATTTGTAATAATTATTTCTCAACTGTTGATTACAAATGAGAATAATGTCTAAAATGTTGGCACAAAGTAATGGCTGTAATCTTATGTCAACTCTTTGTATCGCAAGTAATTGATGAGACGCTGAGGAATGGCATCAGTGTTGGCATCCATTGACTTCGACTGCAGTTGTCTTCCAATCGCTATTCGACACAAAAAGAGCAAAGATTTGACTGAAGAATGCGTTTCGAAGACATTAACGCTTCCCAATCGTGTCCTTCATAATCGCAAACATATAATAAAATTTATTATTTTTGACTCAATGTAAGTGAAATGTATGTATAATTCATACCCGACTGCCAGCACTTGACCGGACTTGGAGTACGTGCAGCACAAGCCGTGAGAGACAGTGCCCACCGCTGCCGGCTCTTCGCACTCCAATAGATCCCAAATCCTTAAAAGACTAATAAAACTCCAGTTATTCATTGGTTTAGTGAAATAATGTTAGCATTTATACCCGTCATCGGCGACCGTTGCAAAGTGTGTGCCGTCCGGACTAAACGATACGCTCCCTAAATGTGAATGTGTTTAATAAGACGGGTATTTTAGGATTAGATGAATATATAGGTAACTGACTGATGAAGTGGCCGTTCTCTCCTCCCGCCCACACCAGTGTTGGTCGTGGTTTGAGTTGACTATCAATGCATTGAAAATTATAATAATTAGTACGGCATAAGAATGGATGTAATGTTAATAACTTAGTTTATATACTGGAATATCTGTAGTATGTCTCCATTGAAGGCATTCCATAGGATGGCAGTCGTATCCCACGAAACGGTCACAATTAGGCGACTGTCCGGCGAGAAGTCAGCGGCACTGACATTGTGCTGATGGGCTGACAGTTGCTGACTAACGCTAAAAGTGTCCGCTTTGTAGACATTTGCCTATAATTACAATAATTCTAGATAAATAGGTGCCTTGATTAAATGCGTTAAATGTCGTACAGTTTTACTTAAACCAAAAGTTATTAACGACTGGAAATCCGGTGCCCATCGACACCCTAACAAAGACTTTCCGTCGCTTTTGATTGATTTGAGTAGATTTCCGTCATCTATGAGATCCCATAACTTAAGGGTTCCGTCGAAAGAACTCGAGGCAAGAATGCCATGGATTGAGCACTCAATGTGTGAAACACAGTCTTTATGATCGAGTAATTCAAGTAATAGTTTTCCTAATGACAACATAAATCACGAACACGTTATGAATTCATTCAAACTAAATACATATTATGATTATATATGGAATTGATTGTCGGATTACCAGAGTGTCAAGAAATCCTTTTAAAATCACTTTCAAACAAAATTCTTCATTCAAAACACACTATAAATTACTTTAAAATTAGGTTTTGTTAATACAGACGGGAATTGGGTGCTATCATTACCTGACTGTATGTCCCAAATGCGAATTCTGCCGGACGAGTGGCCGGTTATGAGGAAATACTGCTTATAGTGGGCCGTCCGGTGCCAAAAAGCTGTAGATTTGTGCAAATTAGCCATAAGTGACAAACTCACAGATCTCACCAAATGATTGCATTCTATCTCTAAATAATCCCTTTTATTTGTTTCATCACTTTTGCCGTTTCTGTCAAATGATAAGTTATATTCAGTTTAATAATTTCAATACTTATTAAAGTTAATTTAAATTATAGTAAATTTAGATCATTTTAATCTTATAGAAATATTATATGGATATAATTTAATCCTTAAATTAGGTATTCATGTCAAGAAGTTAGAAACACTGTGCGGTATAACTCTGGGCTGCAGTTAGTTTTGCTCTCATTTTATATTTATAACAGAATTTAAAGCATACCATATATTGATAGTAATTATTTAAAGGATTAATTTGTATATTATCTAATGAAGTATTAAGCGTTTTATAATGAAAATTTTGTTTTTGGCAATAATTTATTAAATTGTAAAACACATGTCACAATATTGCCTACTCATAGAAAATTTATAATCATTTGAATTTTACAGAATTGGAAAAATATATAAGCAATATAATTCCTAATAAAATGTTAATTTTTACGAAAAGTTTTTATTAACTCTTCAATTTGATACGAAAAATATATTCATGCATTACATTATACTTATCAATAAGAATTGTGTAGTCTATAGAATATAATAAATGAGGTCATGCAATTCTGTAGTATTTATGAAATATTAATACAATAATATGTTTAATAAATAATAAGAATCAAAGCTTTAACCGAATAATGAGAATATATTTATGCAGACATGTATATATATATTATGGACAATGTCTCAATCAAACATTTACTCCCTTAAAAACATAGTAATCATTGCATAACTGTATGTTCAATACATGTGCTGCCTCTTTGACCTTTATGATTGTTATTTATTATATGATAAGTAGTGACCGGAATATATCTGATTATGACCGGACACATACTTAAATCATGTCATTCATATAAAATATTCATTGTTAAAATACAGTATAATTTATTATATTTGATAGAAAATGAATTATTAATGACAAATGGATTTTGACATTAATAAAGTATGTTACAGATAACTAGCATTCACCTAAATCTAGTGCGGCATAATTCATAACTGTATAATTATAATCAAATTTGCGGCATTTATAAATATAGTGTGCAAAAATAATTAAATATTAATTAATATAGAAACATAGAAATATATTTAGGATTAATTTGTATATTTAAGGCAAACAAGCAATGAGCGAGAATAATTTTAGCTACTTATTGGGTTTATTCTGTACCATTAATACTACAATATAAGCATTAAATACAGAAATATAATCGGAAAAGCTATAAGTGAGTGACAAATACCTAATAAGTTGGTGCCATTTGACGAGAATCACTGTACTATTACCGGAAGAATAGGCAAATAGCTGGTCGTCATGAGAAAAGGCACACTTCCACGTCTGCAAACACTGACCATTTGACTCCGGGTTATAATATTGTGGCGACAATTCGTTTATAATTTTAACTTTCGCTATATTTTGAGAATTAATTACTATAATTCTTGTAATACAATGCATTTTTTAATCAACCGATAGCACACATACCAATTGTTTCAGATTGTATTTCATTTGCCATTAAACAAAGTTCTTAAAATGTTATTTAGTGAACCCCTTTGCTAATTAACAATATTTACGGGATATAATTTAAATATATTCAAGAAATGAGCACTAATTTTAGTTAGAAATTAATTTTTCAGTCAATTATTAAGAATAACGACGAGAATTGTGTGGTTGTGTTGAATGAGAGATTCAGTGCCAGCAATGCTTTCGCAAAAAACAGACTATTTTCTAGACTCGGATTTTATTGAATATTTTTAGTGAAGATGTAAACAGAGTTTGCATTAAAAGTACTGCACTTCTGGCGTCACCACAACCGGTCGATACCAATGAGGAATGAAGTAGTCTTTGGCTCAACGCCAGCACAATATTTATTACTTTCAGCGTTTGGTTTACAGCATAGTCTCGATAAACAGATTGTTTTCGACTAACTTTCTACAACTGTTTGCCTTATAATGCATGCAAAACAATGATTTGTGAATAAATCAAGAATATTCTTCAAATTTTATCACTTAATAGTCATAAGAATGAGACTAATCAGTGGATTCATTGAATGAATGGATGGATAAGGTGTTCATTAAAGCGATGGATGTATGGTATGAATGAATGATACGTCAGGAGCCGATCGAATTGGTGTCCCTTTCCATTGGCTCACAACTGACGCTCCCTTTCCTATCGATCCGATGAACGAGAATTGGAGTCAATTCTGTGCTATAAATAGTTTAAGTATTTGATGTCAAATGTGCGGAATATCTTGTAGTATATATGACTGCACTCTGAACTGAGAACTAGTTTCATAACAAATTGCATTTAATCCCTTTGAAAACATAATGAACTGATTTGTTAACACAAATCCGATACTCGGCTGTGGGATTAGATTTCATTTCCCAACATAAATGAGTAAAATTGCAAAATTAATTAAAAACTTTTTGACTCTAATTTATTGTATTAAATGTCAATTGGAAAAGTATATAAAAGTTTAATTAAGTATTTCGTTTGACTCATTGATGGACTGAATTAGAGGTACAATTGACTGTAAAATGCAATTTAGTAGTGCAGGTGTCGATGACACCTATGAAACCGGTATTCCTTGAACTGTATGTCCCTCTCCAACCCCTTTCACTTATCGTTCATTCAATTAATGAGTTTTTTTTTGAAAATTACTAAATAATAGATTATATTTCCAGACGTTTGCGAACTTTTTTGATTAGTTTTCAATTGATATCTCATGTTCTGTCCAAAGACTTTGAAAATAAAAAACTTTAAAACATTTGTTTGAGAGAATACTTTATTAAAAATAAATTTCTTATAATATCTTAAAATTTATTCAAATTTATTCCGATACCAAACGTATGAATAATTAAGGATTGAGATTATGATAGAAATGAGTGAATGCCACGAGGAGCGGGTTGTTAATGAAAAATACTAATAAAATACATCATAAATAAGTTTGTGGCACAAAAAAATATAGCCTTTGGATTAGATTCAACAGATAGATAAGGGATTATTGACTAACACTATAGCATTGCCATTGAAAATCACACGTAAATAAAGCCAACGCTTATTAAAATGTCAAAAAGTTTTTCAATTTTGATTTGTTGCCAAACTATAGTTGCTATCAATTCAACCCTTTGTGAACTAAAATAAAATGATCCGAGTCATCTAAAAAGTGAAGACTATGATCAAAACTGGTATCCAAGAGATCATTCTCATTGAAGGCATCAATTGTTTGTCACGTAATTTGTGAACAAATGCCGGGATTTTGGCATAAGTTTTGAGTGAAAGACGGATTTTCAACAAAAAATAATTGCAAAAAATATTTACACTTTTTGTGACATTTAATTGAAACTCATTTTCAATGATCTGCTCATCGCTTGCATAACACTCGCAAAGTATAGCCCATTATCTGCGGAACAGCGGAGGTGGTGGCCATCGAAAGTCATGGATCAGTCGGTCACACAAATCCGTGACTTAAAGCACGGCTTGAAAGGCGTAAATCTGATCGCAATTGTCTTGGAAGTAGGTCTGTATTCATGACACCATCCGCTGGTTAACCATTATCTCACTCATGGTGTGATATGACTTCTCGATGGCACAGGTCGTCCCAACATCACCAAAGAGGACCACGAGATCAGGACGTGTAAGATAGCCGACAGAAGCGGTTCCATCAACATCTGCGTGTGGGATGAGCCGGGTCTTCATCTACAGCCGGGAGACATCTGTCGTATCGTCAAAGGGTTTGTCACTTCATTGGATGTGCTATTCATACACCGTTTGTGAGCATTGTTTTCGTGTATTGTTTGCGACATTCATATCAGGTATACGTCTCTCTGGAAGGGCTGTCTGACGGTCTATACCGGAAAAGTGGGTAAAATCCAGAAGATTGGCGACTATTGTCTGGTCTTCTCGGAGGTGCCAAACATGAGTGATATCAACCCGGAGTTCCCGCAACAGATACCAAACAAATGACACTTTCATTTGTGGTTAGATTTGCTTTTTTATCAATTGTTTGCATCTAATTATGCGTTGATTATCGTTAACCACAACCGCTATATTAAGACCACATCCAGTCTTAATACACGATATAATGACTATAATTACGAATGAAATTCAATGAATATTTAATAATTGTATTAATGAGTCAATCGTAAGATCCATAGTAAAGATTTCCATCGATTTTCTGATCATTTATTTGAAATTACGCAAAGATTGCGAAACTATAACTTATTTTGAATAAAACTTTTAAATATTTTTATTTATTTATTAAAACTAATACCGGTATAAAAATTGAAACAACAAAATTGCTGAACATTTTGACGCAAAACATTATCAAAAGTCATCAAAAGTTTTTTGTGCATAAATATGCGGTAAGAATTAATTTATATTATTACCTCACGTTTAATGAATAGAAAGGGTAAACAACAACAAAATAAGGCAATTATTCAATGATTTATTAGTTTTATAACTATTTTACATGATATGAATATGAAATCAATTAATATTTACAAATAATTCAATTAATGAACAATAAGTTAAAAAGTTATTCAAAAACTCGATTCATTGCTATTTTTGTCTCAGAAAATAAGACAAAAATGTTTACATAATTAACAATAAGTTAAAAAGATTTTACAAATCCTATATAATATAATAATTGTATAATAAATTTAAGGCAAATCATACAACAAATATGCTATTTTTTGGACGCTTTTTATACCGTATAACGATTGTATAAAATAATAGTTAATTCAAAACAAAAACTCAAGTATTTTTCGAGTAATTTTTGGGCGAAGACTGCATTATAAAAGGTTATAATAAATGGTTTTCAGGAATTAGTCCAAAAAAGAAATCCCATTTGAAAGTAGGAATTAAAGGCAAGAAAAAAAAGTTTATAGTTTTGTGGAACGGGTTCTCAATATATTCCTATAATATCCAAACAAACACTTTGTATTCACAGAATCCCATAGGAAATCGTAAATACTGTACTGTTTTTTACTGTAACTCTTATTTTTCGGTGTCAATGAACCGATCCGTATGCAGTCGTTTGCCAACTTATATGGACAGACCTCGCGGGACGGCATTACTGTTTGATTCAGTAGTAAACTAATTTTTGCTGTTTTTTTGCTGCAGAACACATATTAATGGTGTGTTAGTTATTAAGAGTTAATAACAAAACAAAAAATATGGCATAATTTGATTGCCAACAAAAGTATGGCAACTCAGTTATTAGCGCTAATCCATTGAACGCTAATCACTAAAAAACATAAATAAAAGCTCAACATTTCGTACATTGATTTACACGTTAATTCAATTAAGGCATTGGCTATACATAGGCCTCGGTTCTGGTGTTCAGACAACACAGCCGTCGGAAGGCGTGAGCCCACGAACTCAGCGTCTTCTCCGACCAGATCCAGAAGCCGGATGTGATGCCAGGCATAAGGCATGTGATGTACTTAATGAGAAATACACTTAAATAGGGTTTCGAGGGCTTGAGGTCCACTTTGGGCGGCGGGCACGGGATGCCGAACTCCGGCTTATGGCACACGTCGGTGAGCCATGAGAGCAGAAACGAGTCGATGTTGTTGTGCTCGTAGTAATAGGTGGCCAACAGGAGGATCGCGGGGCACAGGTATAGCACCGAGAAGAAGCCGATCCGGAGCATCAGTTTCTCGAGTTTATCCGTTTTGAAGGTGCCGTCCATTTTCATGAGCGTCCGGATGCGCCACAACGAGACAAAGCCGGCCGTCAGGAAGAGGGCGCCCACCGTTAGGTATATGAGGAGCGGGATGAGCACAAAGCCGGCCAAATAGGACTGATTCCAGAGGCCCACGAAACACACGCCACTCAACACATCGCCCTCCACTTTGTTCATCGCCAGAACGGTGATCGTCTTGATGGCGGGCACCGCCCACGCCATCAGATGAAAGTAATGCGAGTTGTTTTCGATGGCCTCGTGCGACCACTTGAGCCCAGCGCTCAGGAACCACGTGATGGTCAGTATAACCCACCAGATGGCCGAAGACATGGTGAAGAAGTAGAGAGTCATGAAGAGAAGAGTGCACTTCTCCTTCTTATTGCCCTGAGTTATGGTGCGAATCATCTGCACATTCGTCTGGCCGTCGGGCGCCGGGAAGGGCTGATTGCAGGCCACGGAGTCGCCCAACGCGAAGCCGCAGATGTAGACGACGCCCACGAAGAAGTAGCAGAGGCTGAGGAATATGATGGGCCTCTCGGGGTATTGGAAGCGTTTGGTGTCAATGACATACGTGGCGACTGTGAACAGAGTGGACACCACGCATAGGATGGCCCACAGGCCGGTCCACAAGCGAATGATACGGCGCTCGTCTTTGCCGAAGAGTATGCCATCGCAAGGGGCGCCGCAGTTCTTGTGGCTTTTGCCCTGAATGCGAAACACGTAATCCATTCCGGGAGGCGTCTGGAAGTTGACGGGACACACGAAGCCGAGGTCGCGACTGATGGTGGCGTTCGCCGGCGACTTGGGCCACGACTTGGTCGCCGCCGTATTCACGAACGGCCGATAGGGCGAGCCGTTCAGCCCGTCGCCCGACTGGTCGCTGTCCTGACCGAAGCACAGGACGCCGCGCTTCTTGTCCTCATTGGTGGGAAACTTGTCGCAGTTGAGCGGTTCCGGCCATTTGAAGCCGAACTTATTCATGAGATGTTCGCACCCGTTCTTCGCCGACTGGCAGAGCGACTGACACGGAAGCAGCGGTTTGTCGAGAATGGTGCAGACGGGCGCATACATAGAGCACAGGAACATCTGGAGGTCGACACTGCACTGGACTTTGACGAGCGGGAAGAACTGGTGGACCTCCAGACCCGCGTCCTCCTGCTTCGCGTGGTTCAAGTTATTGGGAAGTATTGTCTCATTGTATTTGAGGTCTTTGCAGAGCGGGATGGTTATGGGCTCACACTTGCCGTGGTGTGCGAGGTGGCCGGACATCACCGCACCCCCGGACACCTCCTCCGACACCACCCGCGAGGACATCAGTTGCGGTGATAGCGAGCCGAAGACACCGCACATCACCACAAGCGGTGTCCAAAAGGCTGTCATTGTTGTCGCTGTGATTATCACCACTCGTGTCCACTATCAGCAGCGACTGTCACACGCCTGTCGTCTACCGTCTCATGCCGTCAGACATGGGTTGCGGTCATCAGACCATTGGATCCGTTGATGAGCGCAACGATGGATACATTTGGGTTCACTCGACACACACAGCACTCAATGGATAATAGATTTGTTTTGTTGTGTAAAGTCTTTATACAAATCAAACACAAAATGGTTTTCAATGCAAAACCATTCACTCAAACACTGAATCAGGTTTTTGTCTCCACTATACACGCTGGCGCCGCATACAGTGCCCCATCACACCCATTGCCTCCCATTCCCTTAGTTTTTAGGTATATCACCGGAAACTTGTGTACAATTGTCTTTGGTGATAATTTTTTAATTTATAAATTAATTAATTGTGTGAATAATTGATGAGATGTGTATTGAACGAGTATAGCGTGTATTGTATGCAGTGTTTGCTGTACTCGCAGTTCAAACAATCCCTGCATTGAAGATGTGTTGCACTCAATGTCATTGCCTTTTGACGCCTATATATCCCACTGCCATCTCTTATGCAATAACTCTCATCCCATTCATCAATTCATTTGATGCCAAACGCCACGATTGGAGTCAAACTGATTTCAAATCAATTATAAATCATTCATAAAATTACTTTTAAAAAACTGAGGAATAATGAAATAAGTAGAAAATGAGCACAAAGTATGGCACAAAACATATGAATCACATCCAAGATATGCCTTCAGGTTTGAGATAACTGTTTGCACTAAAGGCTGTGCTCTCAGCCTATTATTATCCGTCCATTCCGTCAATTGTGGTAAAAAAATAGCTGTTTTCGCTTAAAAATCAGTTATATTTGGTTTATATCACAAATTAGTCTTGAAATCTGTATCACTATTCACACACAGAAAAAACCAATGCTTTGAAAAAGTTTTAGAAAAAAGTTTTTCATTGAATTATGTGCACAACTCTAGTGTTCACTTAATTTATTAGTATTTCTCCACAAATATAGTTGACTCCAAATCATGTAATACTTTGGAGGGGACCCACAGTTTTGTCCAAATCATCATTAC